CCACAATAAAACACTAAATGGCACAGTGGGGGAAATGGGGCCTAGTAACAGTCACTGCCATCAGTTTGCATGAGCGAAACAGGTTACTTTACTCGTGGCAAAGAGAATTGTGTTAAATTTGAATTCAATGATATGAAATCGTTGTATAACCGAAAACAAATCTGAGAGAAGATAGTCAGTATATATTATGTATAATATGTTATAGATTCTAAGACAGTGTTTACTATTTGATTTATAACTCCTGTCTGCAAGCATATATTTATGCATTGTTTAATGACTGTAGATTTAACAATATTTGAGAAAACAAATAATTATTTTAGTTTGAGGAAATTTAGTTGATGAATATTAAAATAAGTTACCAGGAAGTATTTGCTTAACTATTTCTTCTGAAGCATTTAACTTGCTTCTTAATACACATATTGTGTGCTCAGAGTCAATCTTGTATTGTTTATGATCATTTGAAAGTGTTGAGAATTTGTTTTCAATATCATTTATGGTTGATGTTAATTTGCTTACATAGTCTCTATTCTCCATTATATTAATTGTTAGATTTTTAGTTTGCTCAAGTTCATTTTCATAACATTCTAAAAAATAAAGATATAACAGTAAAAAAATACTTGACATTAGTTTTAAAAATATTACCCTTATAATGATTCATTAAAGTTTGATTATTAGTTAACTCTTTATTAATTTTTTCTATTTCATTGGCATGTAAATGGTTTAAATCTTCAATTTCACGTTTCATTATGTTTATAGTGTCTTCTTGATTTTTAGATTTTATTTGTAATAAATTAACTTCATTCTTTAACACCAAAACCTTAAACATTCATGACAACATAACTTATAACAGTTATAACATATAGGCAATTACTCATAAACTAATATAGAAAATCTAAAGACCTAAAAATGAATTTAAGTAGCACTGTTATTTTTTATCATTAATTTAAAATTATACATTCTATGTTAAGAACTTTTTGATTTTACCTCTGCATTTTTTTCATCTAAATCTGGTTTTAATTCATTTATTTCTTTATGATACTTTGCATGAAGAATGGAAAATTTATTTGTGCATTTTAATAAACTTTCAGTTAAGGTATCGATTTTTAGCTGCAATATTCCATCATCCATTTTAGTCATTCTTTCTCTAGAAAAAATAATCAAAATCAATATATACATAATCTTATATTCAAAGTATTTTTATCACATCTTACCTAACTTCAGCTTCATGTAAGTTTTTTAATAGTGAATCGTTGTGTAGCATCAAATCATGTTTTTGCTTCAACGAGTTTTTAAACTGTTCATTAACTGCCTCGATTTCTTTTTGCAATTCCAAAAACTTGGCTTCTCGAATGCTAGTACTGTTGTTGAGCATATCGAAATCAATTTCTGGTTGGTTTCTGGTTTCTAAAGCACAACTCAGACGCTAGCTCAAAATTATCTTTTCCATTAGACTACCAACAATAAACCAAAAATACTTACCACATGAAGTATTTGTCCCGATTTCATTGCGGCTTGTGGTAGGGTTGCGTAAATATTGCTCAAACTTGCTTTTGGTGTCATCGGAGAGTGCGTTGTAACCATCGTCCGCCAGAATGGAGTTGACCAGACTAGCTACGTTCACCATCGTGTATCGACCCTAAACTAACCTAACGTATTACGAACACTAGTGGAGTACCGCTAACTTCAAATATTAAAGCATGAAAAATTTAAAAATATTTTTTAAGCCATTTAATGACTTGGTTTGCCTTTGCGGTACTGCAACAGAGTTGTCGATAAAACACACAACGGACGATTATTGCATGCTGCAGAACAGTAAACAGTTCGCAAAATATCACGGGTGAGTTTTGAGTGTTTTGACAACAGACAACAGTTCTTAATAACACATAGAAAACGAAAATTGATTACAAACTACCAAGTCTGAAATACGGTAGATCAACGGCCAATCACGGTTAGGTTAACGTGATCGCCGCGTCGAGTCGGAGCACGATTTAAGATAATATACAGGTTGCCCAACGGCATATGATAAGGTGAGTACCAAATTGAGTTCTTCATGGTGCTGGAAATTACAGCAAGCGCTCTCTGTGAGAGAAAACTAAATTACTGTGTCGCTGTCGGTTGCCTGATGAATTTGAAATTTTCTATTTTAAATTTTGTAATTCTTTTTGCTAATTTAATTTAACAATTTTATACTATTTTCCAAACATTTTATTGAAAAGTCTACTTTCAAACTGTACAAGTTTTACAGTAATTTAATATTATAATGTAAGTCATATAGATTTTATTATTTTATTATAATAACCAAGCTATATATTACAACAGTACAACCAGTGACGTGCTCAGCTTCTTCGTAGGGGGGGGATGAACTAACTACCTACACACTACTATTTTTTTCTGAGTAAACCGAAACTATCGAAGAACTATAAATTACTCATAAAAAAAAGTTCATAGGGGGGATATGACACCCCCCCCCCCGTGAGCACACGTCCCTGACTACAACCAATATACTTATTAGTCTTAAAATAAAACTTAGCGATTAACATACGAGAAACCATATTCTTCCAAAAGATATTCTATTAAATATACTCAGTACCAGATATCCATGTCCTAATAATATCCTTTTCTTTGAAATGCTTTTGGCAAATGAGAACATTTTCATTCAATTTCATGCCTAGTGTATTTTTCCACAAATCTAATGATGCTTTGGGTATACCAAAGTCCAAAAGTACTACTTTTGTATAGTGTTTTACAATAAGGAATGCAGCACTTCATTGTATTATATTTTTCCAATTTGAATAAATATTTTTTATAGTTTTAAGATATCCTATGAAGTCTCAAATCTCAAGTGTAGTAGAAATAATACCATACGTTATACAAAATAACAAAGTTTTGTATGCAGCTAAGTAATAAGTACCTAAAGTACTTAAAGTATTTATACATATCTTAAATCGTAGGATAGAATCTACGACACGAATTAAGATATACCTAAGGTCCTAACTCCCAAGATATATCTTAATTCGTGATCTACGATATAAATTCAAATTAGTTCGTGATTTAAATTGTAATAATAGAGAGCGCTAGCGTCTTTTTCCACGGCTGTGAGTCTTCAAACTTTAATTATTTCGGTATAGGTCGTGAGTCAGGCAGTCGTCCAAAGAATCATAATAACTGCCATGATAAGGATAACTGCTTACTAGCGCTTATGGTGACAGCATGGCCAATCACTTGGCGGCTGGCGCCCAAAATCCAAATGCCAAGTGCTCCAGCACAAAATTTAAAACAGAAAAGTCAGAATGGGAACTATGGCCAGCAGTGACTACACCATAGATTACATTTTACTCATTGTCTGGTTCCAGTAAGGCACTATAAGTACATAATATTATAATTCCTTAGAAGATCCTTGAAGGTCTTGATTCAGATCTTATTATTGTTCTATGGTCATCTATAATAGAATATAATAATAATTAATCAGGTTACGTTAGATTGATTAATTTGCGGCGTGATTTTAAGTACACAAAACAAATACAATACAATACAATGTTATAATTTATAAATAAACTAAGAATATAAACACAGACTATATGAACATTTTTATAAAGTCTGTGATATAATTATATAAAAGGTTTAATGTAGAAATATATCATAAAAGAATATGATTATGATGTATAATAAATAATAATAACACAGACTTTATCATGAAAATGACGCGATTAAAGGTAGAAATATAATAATAGTATACATTACCAACATTTCAATTTTCATTCATGCCTGTACCATTGACTGGTGGTAGGTACTCAGGGGTATTTTTAGAGGAGCACATGCAGTTAAAAAAGTTAACCACCAATTATTTTTTATTTAAAATATATTTTCATTTATTAACCACTTAAGTTCACAGAAATTAATTATTATATACTATAGTTTATATCATACATTTATAAGCTTCCCTGTGACATCAGACATTTTAACCTCCACCCTCGAGAGCACATGCAGTTGCAGTACTGGATGACCTGTCTGAGTGCCACTGCCATTGACCTATATGACATAAATGTCTTTTATTCGGTCAATGGTCTATACCACGATTATTTATATCAGATAATCAATAATAATAATAATAAGTGGCTTAGACCTTTTTATTTTTCTATATTGATGTTTATTATTGTCAATACATTTTTTTATCCATTCATATTTATTTTCTATATTTATCTAAAAGTGACAAGTTATTGTTGACTGTTACAAAATATAAAACCGAAATTATAATAAAAATCTTCATAATGTATTCCACTATAGAAATAGCATTACACTATATTCTTACTCTATGCACTATAGTCTATAAACCAACAACTGAAGAAAGTAATTATTACTTAATTTTGTTTGACATAAGAAAAATAAGATTAAAACAACTGTTTATTTTTTAATTTGTCTTTATTCTTCATTTTAAAATACTAATGAATCATATTTAATGTATACAAATTTGAAATTTCTTAAATTATTCATTTGTTTTATTAATTTTTTTCATTTATAGTATTTAAATGTATGCTTTATCTATGGCAATTGACAATGTTTAATATATTTATACATTCATCCAGATTGTAGCTCTATATATACTTACATAATATAATATAGAGTTCAGGGCTTCAATGACTTTTACTTAATTATTTTCATATGAATAGTATAAGAACTTTGGAATAAGCTCATAAAGTTTTGATGGTTAGGATTTATCTTCATAAAAATCATTACTTACACATCATTCATTTATGATTATTAAATTTTAGATTCATTTTAATATTTGATTTTACAATGATCTATTTTAATATTTTGTACTCATTTAGATAACTTGAATGGAGTTAAAGATATAAGACATTTTCATTTAATGAATACAAAATGGTTGAAAAATACTTATGATTTGATTATTTATATTATGTTTAATGCATAAACTTAATAATTAATTGGACATAATTCATTCTTGTATAATATACATTAAATTCACTAAAATAAATAACATATATGATTTATAATTTTCTTTAATAACAATAAAAAATATAAAATAAATAGGTCTAACAAATTAATGAGATGTAATGCAGTATTCATAATTGTATAGTTTAAATGTGTATGGGAGATGTTAAACGGTTGCTAGAAGTGTTTCTAGATGCTTTATGTTTGAGCTCTCGTCGATAATCATCTGAAATTTTCATTAATTGCATTTTCATATGTAGAAGTTCTCTTGTTCTTTGATGAATTGGTTCCTGAAAATATTATTAATACAAATTATAAAACATCATTCGTTATCAACAAGTAGTTAGTTACTTGTGGTCTCATGCTTGGATTCCATCGGCAATACAGTCCTTTCCACATTTTAATGTAGCGCAATGAAGCAACTGGTTCAAGAGCATGTTGCTGGGGCCAGTATAAAGGGTTTTTATATAAATCTTGATCACTGTTAATGTAAGACCAAAGTGAAACAGTTTTTTGTTTCACTTCTTTTTGTAAGCGCTCTTTTTCACTAAGTAAAATAAATAATATTATGTATATAGTTGTGATGTGATGTGATACAATAGAATAATGTTTAAGCATGTATGAGATATTGTTAATCGAAATGCGAATTGACTTCAATTGAATGGTGAAAACTGTTCTTTTTTCATACTATTATTCAAAATTATATTTTTGGTTAATACACAAAGTATGAATCAAGAAATCATTTTTTAAAGTAACTATCACTCCACATTATATTGAATAGTTAATTTTACTTAATTTCCAATAACAATAATTATCGTATCATAAATAATTTAATATCAAAAACAATTAAAATACCTGTTGAAAAGAAATGTTCCAAATCTACAAGAATATAAATGATCAATAATAGTTATTAAAAATAACTCATTGAATTCAAATGCATTTGGAAACATGCATGTCACCTGCCAAACACAGTCTATAAACTGTAGAAAAACAGGTGATCGATCTGCATCTGAATGGTGATCATCTCCATGGCCAATTCTCTAATTATAAAAACCATACTGTAGTTAGATTAAATCTTATTAGTCATTATTTAAATACTGAGTTTTTATGATTTGTTAATGTAAGAATAAAATTACGTTTGCAGCTTCATATAAATTTAATTGAAAAAATGCTAATTCTTGTAACTCTTAGACCTTAGTTAATAATCATGGACAAATACAACAATTACTACAAAAAGGTTTGATCAATGGTACTGGTTAATTAATAAAATGCTAGTATGAGCTATGATAGTTATAATACTATTTATAGGGTATTAGCTCATATAAAAGGACAAGTGCAATAGTTCCCAAACTTTTTAAATTCAAACTTCCCTAAAAATAAACAAATTTTCTCACACCTCCGATGAATAATATTATTATAATGAAATAGACTATTTAATATTTTCTACTTTAATTTATCATGTATAAATTTGAAGATATTTATGATTAGAAAACAGAATTTACTAAAAATTATACAGTATAAAATAAAATAATGTAGACAATGGGTTTGTTTTCAATGTTTAATGCACGAATCAAGGTTAAGAAATTGTTGTCGACTTCAAATATGATCTAAATATTAGTAATCTAAGTCTATAATATATTTACTCCACACCTCCCCTATAAAAGGTTTGCATCTCAAAAGGGAGTCATGCTGCATGGTTCAGGAACCGCCAGTGAAGTGCAATAACCGGGTATCTTCATTTGTTTTTATATTTTCTGATAAAAAAAATTGATGTCTAGATATTTTTTATGCTTTAACCTTTGATCATGCACAATATATTGTATGTGATCTAAGGCATTAATGAAACATTTTTGTCCTCTAAATAAGCTAATATACAAATAGAGATTTTTTGATGTAACTAAGTTGTTTGGTGCAACCATGTCAAAATATATTTTGTCATGGGTACTGCAACGGAGTATCCCCAAGTGTTTATAATATCTATTAGGATAAATTAAGAAAATGTTTTATTGCTCTATAGTGGTATGTATACATAGCTATAATATTTACAATTCTGTAACATTTTGGATAATTTTTTCATAATACAAAATAAGTTTAAAAAGAATTCAATTTCCATTTTTTATGTAATAACAAGTTACCTATATTTTTTTTTTTTTTTGAATTAGATAATTAAAATACTTAAATATTTATGAATAATTAGCCATGTATCTGATGCCTCGCATACAATTTAAAATGAATACATATGAAGATACTGGGTTATTGCACCGGATATTATTTGCTATTATAGTATTATGACAGATAATCTTCTTGGTATTAATCGGTAGCCTAATCAAAACCTGACGGTATCTTAGAACTTAAAAGTGAACTTCTGTGGTGGGTAGTGAGTACATTAGTGAAACCTAACTTAATGTAAAAATGTCTTAAGGAGTACCTATTACAGAAAGACATTTTTTTCTCTATATAAATATTGTGAGGTACTAAGGTTACAAATAGTTACTTATAATCTACCAAATAAACAATAAATCAATAATTTTACTTACGTGTTGAAATTTGTGACCAAAACTAAGCCATTCCTTTTCAATTAATACTTCAAATCCTTTTATTGTTCTATAATATGGATCCAAAAGTACCATGGCCAATGCAGTCAACTGATACATAACAATATTAATGAAATCAAATACATAGTACAGATTTTTTTTTATTTACCTGCGCTGTGCGATCCCATCCATCAGAACAATGAACTAGCACTGAAGTTTTATGATTTTCTACTTTATCGACAATACGGCAAGCTCCAGCCAGTATACATTTAATATGTTTTAACCAATATGTAGATTCAATTCCCGACAACCATTTTGTTTCATCAATATTTGGGAAACATATTTCTAGGGTAAAGTATTTACAGTTAAAAATAAAAATACTACATCTTAAAATATAACCAACAGACCTTTAAGTTTTCTCAGAGATTCCCTCATTACGTGAATATTATGTATATCGAGAAATATTAACTCTGCATTTTGATAAGCATCTTCTGGTTCATAACCGCCTCCTTTAGCCTTGTTGGCAATTGCGTTGGCACTATAACATAGACATTTGAATAAGAACTGCAATAATAGTTAGATAAATTCTAACGGCTTTACCTGGGCCTCGCATCCATAATATAAAGTTTATGTGACTGTGCATTTGCATCAATTATAAGTTGAGTATATCTCTCATCATCACGACACCTCTTCCCCCCAACACCAACTAAAGGTTGAGATGCCCTAGTTATGGTGGCTTGAGATTCAGAATGTAACCAGCTTAATACTGGTATTCGACCTCTACTTCTAAAAGCTGCTGCATTTCTTATAATTTCATCTGTTGCTCCAGCTGGGACAGCTAAAATTGCAGGGTAAGTCTCGCAAAGATCATGGCCATCATTCAGTTTAGTAATGTGCCATGTATCATTTGGCACACCCTAAAAAAAATCATTTATAATTATAATATATTGTTATTAAAATGAGTACCCGATAGTCAAGTACAATAATTTACCATTCTCTTGAGTTCAGCCATAGGTTCATAAACATTCCAACCATTTTCTGGAAACGTTTCAGTATATTCAAAAGCAAACATTGGAATACTGTGAGATAAAGGAAATGCATATTGTTGAAGTTTTTCAAACACATTACGTCTTGAATGATTCTCTTGTTTATGACCAAAGCGTAAATTTCTCATATCTTTACAAAATAATTCAATACCATATGAATTTTCTCCTCGACTTGATTGACCACCAACTTTTTCTACTCTACTCACCTGCCATATTATATTGCATTAAAAAAATTTTATAAACAAGTATAGCAAAATGTTGTATTTTGTTAAAAGCATTTAATCAATTGTAATACCAATACATGAATAGTATGCGATATCAATTTTAAAAAATTACATTTCTTTAATATTTGTAATAGAAATTTATGAAGTTATATGCTTTAATTGTAGTAATATAAAGTAAATACTAACCACACCCAATGGTACTTCAATAACTAGCTGAGTATCCCGTTCTAGACTTTTAAAGTATAATTTATAGTTGGTGACAGATAACCAACCTCTTGCTGGACCACTAAATGGACATAAATAAGTGACATCTCGAGCCACACCTTGTACTTTCTCTCCTAATAATAATGGTGGATCATCTGAACGGCCAGAAGCAACATTTTCTGATACCTTAAAAATTATGAAATAAGTACAAAACTATGTCAATATTAAAATTTTTTTTAAAATTAATTTACTTTATTTCTTAATTTTATGTCTCCTAAAGTTGGAATTTCATTAGATGTAGAACTTGTTGATCGACGGCTTTTAGTAGGCGAATTTGATTCCTAATAAAAATAATGGTTTGATTAGGTAGGTAATATATTTTATATACATTTAAAAAGTAAAATGTAAAAAAGAATTTGCAAAAATGCATATGAGGCAATTATTAACAGTAAAACCATATTAATATGAACACATCATCACAATAATATGGTAATATATACATAAATAAGGAAACATCACAACTTACCGATTCTTCTTGTTCGACTTTTGAATTTAAAGAACTTGATTTGGAATCTGAATCTGAACTCATATTTTGATATTTGCTGTTTAAATCCATAACCAATTAAGGAAATTATTATATTAACATTTCAAAGGGTATTTAAGTTGACACAAAACAAATAAATTGCTCTTAATTGATGTTTGTGGCAAAAATACATAGAAGAATTAGAAGATATTATAGCAATATTTATTATTTAATCATTTAATCTTATCTCGTGTTTTCTTATCACATTCCTAACTACAATAGATACAATAGACAGTGACAAATTACAGTAATCAGGTACACTAATTTACTTTGAAATACTGAAGTAGTGAAGTGTAAATAGGTACCAAATGCAAAGATCTATTCACAGTATACGAACGCAAGTACACATCACGACTCACCAGAGTACTCTGACTGAGAAGCTAGGTCTGACAAGACACTCAAGTTCTTTGTTTATAGACTATAGGACATTAGGTATTAATACGTTGACAATCTCAATTGCACATTTGCACTTGCCAGTCACCACTTGTTACAAAAATCTTATCAACACAATTGTGGCGGTCACAAATCATATCACAGTGTTTAAATTCAGCATTTACTTCGGATATTTAACAGTCATATGTCACGAACTATTTATTAACTCAATTTTAATTAAAACTAATATTTCAATTCAGTATTTCAGCGCTTGATTTAGAAAAAAACTTGAAGGGGAACTCAGCGGATATTTGATGAACGAGCGTTCCACATAAAATTAACTGTCACATTACCGTGGGGGGCTTTGCCACCCGTAATCCCAAAAATCATTAAATTTATTATATAAAAATATTTTAAAAGAAAAAAACACTTGTTCATTAATTATTTTTTTAAAAGACATTAAATGTTAAATTATTAATTAATTATTCTACAAAATATACATAGTATTAAGAATTATACTTTGGTAATTGGAGATAACTAGATAAGACGAGTCATTACATCATCCAATAACATTATAATTTATATTACGATTTATAAAAATTTAATTCATAAAATGTATCTATAGCATAATCACAGATATATGCTTATGTGGGCATCATACAATTTCTTAGCAATTTAACAATCCATTTTTTTTTTTTCATAGTCGATTCAAATGTACAAATATTATGCCATTATGGCTATTTATATAGGTATATTTTGCATCAGAAAAACTGATGATTTACAAATTCACTTTACTAAATGTTGCGTTCCCAGCGTTCCGTTTCAAGTAAATAGAAGGGGTAAGCTGAAAATTTTTTTAAAAAGGGGGTCTCCCCTCCCCCAAATCAAGCACTGTTTCAACTGTTAAAAACGCTGTTAATAAACGATTTATCACGAATAGCTTAAGAACAATTTATAGAACAATTTTTAATTGTATATGATTTAAGCTTTGGGAGGTATTTGGATTAATCCTTTGATTTAGCAACGCAAAATAATGATTTATTGTCTTATTGATTTATGTTATGAAATATCAACACTTATTGTTGTTTTTGTGTCATCAAGTTAAAAAACAACATCGCGGTAAAGAATAACAATTTTATAGAAAAATCACTGAGATAGATAATATCACAGATAAATAAAACAATAATAATATATCATAATCTATCTCACTATCTCAGTCATAACATTATACTAAGGTGGGTTCACACCTCATCGTGTCGAGTAGACTATAGTGTTATAGACTATAGTGACTATAGTGACTTATAGTGTTCCGTATGCAGTTTAAGGTCCATAATCTCCATGAGAAACTGAGAAAATAGATATTCTTTATTTTGAGGTGCAGTGCTGCCAGCCTCGTGATAAGAAATTATAGTTGATGACCGATTATTTATATAATTTAATTTTGTATGGCCGTGTGGCATCATAGACATAAAAATATATTTATATTTTATATCTTATATGTCTATGTATGGCGTATACGCATAAAGACATAAGACTTAACAATTCAGTTTGTGCTTTTGGATCTAAATCACAATATTTATGTGTACTCAAATCAGTTCGACCTAATATATAAGCTGTTACAAAGATTATTTAATTAATTACAATAATTATTAATTGATGTGTCATTATCCATTTGTCCAGAGTATTAAAATGAACTCGGATTACCATATAAACTCATATGAGTTAATTATTAACTAATATAGAAATAAATAATTGTTCAAAACTCGTGGTCGTATATTAAATATACAATTAATTTGACTTAACATATTTTATTTAATTCTACAAAAAAATGACAGTGGGTCCGATGGGTGTACCAAAGTATATAGCAGTAACAACACCATATAGCACCATGCAGTGGGCACTGGGCCGTCATACCCAGTGATGAGGGGGGGGGGGTGGACCCCTATGACCTCTTTTCAATATTTAAGATCTGATAAACATAAATTATATCAGCCTCCCTCCTAAAGAATAAGGTTTGATTGATATTTAAAGAAAAAAATACTGTTATTAATTTTTACAATACGAACCTGCAGACAATCATATATACTACCCACTATCGAAGACTACGATGTAGAGCAGATATCTTCTTCAAGATATGTTCTCTTAACTAGCTGTTTTCTTATTTTTAATTAATATTTAAATACACATGTATTACTAAATGTACTCGGTTGATAAACGTCAGAATTATTATGCGAACCTTTTGTTTTTTATCTACAGCACATGACTTATAAGAAATAATATTTAAAGAACCATTTGTAGTATTTTCTAGCATCATTACCAATTACTTTCTAAAATATGTTATATGCGATTATATCTCATGAATCATGACTAAATATGTTATTTTTGACAATTAAATAGTTCGGTAAAAAAAAATATTAAGTCTTATCATCAACAAATTAGTAATTACCAAATAAATTGTTCTCATTTTATTAACAATTTATTTTGATAGTAGTTTTAATATTTCGCAAATAGTCATAAATAGAAATTACATTTCAAAATTCCTCATAATAACTGATCATAATTGTTTGAAGCAAAATATTGTTATATTTCAACAAAATAAATGTAATTAATTACTGGAGCTTTCTTAACAGAACATAATATTAATAGTTATTATTAAAAATCGGAAAGTGAAAAGTTGAATAAAATATAATTATTACTCAGTACTTCATTAGCATGATAGCCGATGGGAACAAATATTTATCTTTAAAGTAATCTAGTATTTTACTTGGTTAATTTGAAATCTTTATAGGTAATTACCAATTTTTTATAAGTGCGTAACTCTTAATACTGTATAAAATATTACCTGTAAGTAAAATAATCTCAAAGTAATGTCTTGTATAAGTTCTTCTGTGACATATATTCTGGATAGAATTTTGCTTGGAACATGAATTGGAGTGCGTTTTCCTTCTTAACATTTTGATCTAAAGGTATAAAATACAAATTAATTTATTGATATAATTTATTTGATCAATAAGGTAATATGCAAATTCAAATAATAATAAATTACAATTAAATGTAATGATCATTTATCAATTCAAAATAAGACATGTTAAAAAAACAAATAACAATTATTATTATATGATACCGGTATAGAACTACTAAATACTAATTGTCAACAAATGTATTATGTATACATAATCTGATGATACTATTTAGTATTTTAATTCTGAAGTGGACACTCTACACCCGCATTCGTTGTGCCATACTCCGTCTTAGATGTGTATACAAGTCACAAGTGCTGAAGTCAGTGGCGTAGGTAAGGAGTGAGCTGGTAAACCCTCCCTCCTCCCCAAAAATACATATTGGTGAATTTTAATGAATACTCCTCCGACGGCTGCAAATGGCGATGTATGGCAAAACCGCTGTGTGTTAGCCCCTTTAAATATTCATAAGCAGGGCGTCAATGTTGATCCAGTACAAATTGTTAACAAACCACCTCAATGTAGTCAAGGATTTAATTTACTTGTACAGTTAAAAAAAATAATAAGAAGAACACGTATTTAATTATTATACTAAGTATTAATTAGTAAATATATTTGTATCCTAACCCAATCCTATGTGCAATTTTTAAAGTAAAAAAATACTAATTTTTTCATGTCAGCCTATAACACAGTTCCGTTGAAAGTTCAATCCTCAATAATTTATACCTACGCCTCTGGACGAAGTGCATAACATACCAAATTTACTTTCAGTATTTCACGTTTAGCTTCATTAATCGTTTCAAAAGTAAAACTGCGTTTTAAACATAGGTTTAAAAAACTCTTAGGAAACATAACTGCTTTTCCAACACTTATTATGCTAACAATATTTTAGCTTACCTACACTACAAAGAATAACATTATAAATATGATTTTAATATTATGTGAATGTGCGGGTAGGTAAGCTAAAATATTATACTGAATAATGCAAGAATATAAACAAGACGAATAAAAAGTAATTCGTGATTAATCGTTACAATAATTAAGACTAATATCAATATCTTCTCTACATGGTGTCGAAGGCATTGAGCAAATCGATTATGTTATCGCAAACGTTCCGCATTTCAAATGACCATTTTTGTATTTTTATGGCAGCCATACATTAGCTGACAATATTGTTAGATTACATCAAAACTTTCTGATTAACTAATTGACAGTAACTATTAGAGAATTAATTTACCTTTCAAAACTGATTATTCTTTCTAATGTGTACCCAAGTATCCCTCACAAATCACAATACAATTAGCACAGCAGCAAGAGTTGGGTATCCATACCACCTTGAACATAACATTTCTTAAAGCAGGGTTCAACACAAGTGAACACATATAACTAGTTTTCGAAGACAAGTCTATACAAATCAATCAAAAACACCAATTTTCGGATATTCCTGACCATTGATATACCATATACAGTCTACCTGCATAATATGCAAAGAAATCGGACACTTATCATCATCATGTAAAAATATATAGGAGAAATAACCGCGAGCCTCGTTTGCCAAGAACGAAGAAAATACCTCTCTATAAAAAAAAAATATAGACATTAGACATATTCCATATTGCAACCAACTTAGAAATTTGAATTATTTGAATGTTTTTGTACTACCTACTTACGGTGTATCCAGTGGTGAAATAAACTTCTGTTTTTCAAATGAGAACCCTCCTCTATATTATTGTAAATATAATAAGTGCATAATTTTTTTGAAAATATTGATGTACCACATTCAAAAATCGAATGAGTAGTTCCTTAGTTATTAAAATATTTGTATTAAGGTTAAAAGCCCTAGAGTTGGTTTTACATTAATAAAAAATAGACGAAAACTTATATTTAGTATTAATAACCAAACCTATTTGGATTTTTTTATATACAAGGATTATACTTGGGAAATTTTTAAAAATTATTTATGTTGATGTATATTATTATTAATGAGTAATGACTACAATTTTCGAATCACCATAGCCCTCATATCTTATAAACTCATCACTATAGACCTTTTATAATCATTTACTAAATTTATTTAATACACGTCATAATATACTATGCATGAACGTTGACCGTCAAAGTTTACAGTTAAGTTTTTTTTTTGATTTGATGAATTTGTAATATCTACTTATATAGTTTAAATGCAGTTTTTGTCGCACACTTGTAAATAATATACAAAGCAGGAGCTTATTTGTTTATAGTTGATGTTGCGTGATATCATATTTTCGTATATTCTTAAGTATTGTTTTACTCTATTTGTTTTATTGTTGTTTATTTTGAATTTTATAATTTAATTTGAATTTTTCTATTTAATACACGATATTGCATGGGGATAATTATAGTGCAACGGTTGACTC